AACCCCAGGAGAGTGAGAGATCAGCAGAGAATGAGGATAGGAGCTGCTGGGGAGGCCCAAGCCAGGAGTTAGGTATGAGGCCTCAGGCTGTCACCAGCCAAATGAAATGTAAGTGTCACCAGCACCTGATGTTTTATCTTCTTCCTCATTCCTGCTCTGGGCTTGACCCAAACAGGTACAAGAGCCTCTCAGTTTGTACTAGTCTTCTCTGTAAAATGGGGCTAATAATAGCGCCTTCAAAGGGTGATTATAAGGATCACATGAGGTAACATATGTAAAGCACTTTGCCAATCTTAAAGCACTATGAAAACGCTATTATAATAATTATTATTATTACTCCCCAGCTCAAACCTTTCAACCTCAGTGGCACCATCTCCCAGTGACCACTTCTCCCTCCATCCCAGGTAACTGCTGGAAGATCCAGCTGTGCCCACCATCCTTTGATTGCTCAGTGATGTGTCTGGAGGGGAAGCTGAGAGATGAGAAGGGGAAGAGGGGAGGAGGGCAGGGGGACAAAGGAGAAGGGGAGGAGGGCAAGTGTGGAGAGGAGAAGGGGGGAGAAAAGAAGGTAGAGGAGAGGAAGGGGAGAAGAGAAAGAGAGAAGGGAAAAGAGAGGGAGAGGGAAAAGGGGTAGGGGGAGAGGAGGAGAAAGGTGGTCATTAAAGAAGATGTCAGACCCTATTCTCTTTCTTTTGTTATACCCATGCAAAGGCATTAAAATGCTTTGAGGGAGGAGAGGAGGAGGGAGGGAGGGAGGGAGGGAGGGAGGAATGGCCTGAGGAATCCATGGATAGTGGGGAAGATGTCAGACCCTGTTCTCCTCTTCTTGCCCTGTCCACCAGAAGACCTCCAAATATTTTTTCCCACAGCCCCTCCTTCATGGCCCCTGGTTTACAAGGAGGGAAATCAAGGCAGAGCATTAGTAGAGTTAGCCATAGCTACCCAGCTGGGGAGAGGGAACTAGGTATATGAGCAACCCCCACCAGGGCTATGGATCCCTCCCTGATTTTATCCCATCCCCCAGGATGGGCATGTTCTTTCATTGTCCACCCTTCCCAGCTGAAAGGGAATGGACAGAGAGGGGAGGAAGAGGAAGAGTACCTGCCCTGTCCTCCCTCACAGGAGCCCCTGTTGGAGTTATTTTTAGCCCCTGTCAGCACCCAGGTCCAGGCACCTTCCATAAACCAGGCCTAGAGATGGTGGGAATGTGCTTAGGCCTCTATGCTCTGTCCTCCATTGACCTGTTAAAAAAGAAAATGTCTAGCAGTTGGGGGCCTTGGAGGTGGGGGAGCTGCTTTCTTTGTTCTGGCCCAAGGCATGGGGTTGGCCCCTTTGTAGGAGGTTCCAGGTACTGGCTGGGGGAGAGCCCCTGCTTGGGCCCTCCAAAGCAAAGCCAGTGACAATCTATGTGCTGAGAGAAGGGTATGTGCATAGGCATTCCGTGTATGTAGAGGGACGTACTCCTGTTCAGGAGAGCTTGGAGAGGATTTGTGAGTTGGCAGCAGAAATGTCAGACATGCGGAAAGCCAAACCCCATGCCAGGGCTAGGGGGGAGAGGGGAGAGGGGCATTTCCTGATGACACAGGCAGGATAAAACACTGAGTAGAGAGGCCCCAGGGTCTGCATATTTCCCCATCCCAATCTGTTAAGAAAAAGTCAGCTCCTGATCACATCACTGGAGTCCCCTCATAGCCCTGTAATCCAATATTTGCCACTCTGCACTGGGATTCTTAATCAACAACTCCCCCAGCTAGATTCCCCCTGGCTAGCCCCACCCTGACTAGCAACAGTGCCAAGTACAAAGAACTCTAGAGCAATTCATTCAAAAGGATAACAAACACAGGAAAGAAAAAATTAAGGAAGGAGCCTCTGGTTCCCTAGAACCTGCTATCAAAGGAGGTGAGGGTGGGTGTGCCTAGGACTGCATTGCCCACTCATGGGAGAGCCTTGAGAGCTCTGAGGAAGGGTCCAGTTTCAGTAGGGTTAATGAGAACATGAAGTCACAGGACATTTATCAACGAATGGAAGTTAGTTCTCATGAAAGCTACAGAGGAACTGAGACCAGGAGAGGGGAGGCCACACAGATACAGCCAGCTCCCTTGGGCTGCAGCAAGAGACCCTTCCACCCCTTACCAACCTCAGTGCTGAGTCCTGCCCTGGAGCATCCCACCAGGGCCGGCCAGGCTGAAATTTCCTTTGTTCCAGGGCCTTCTCCAACCTTCATTTCACAGGGTTGACTAGAGAGGAACAATCTGGGGACAGGAAAAGGGACCTTACCCAGCCCTGGAGACTCACCTTTCGAGAGAGGGCTCAAGGAGAACATAGACGGCCAGGTCCCTGCCCAAGGAGAGGGTTCAGCCTGCTGCCTGGCCTACAGATCAGTCCTATGACTAGTAAAGCCAGGGTTTCTGTCCACTCAGCAACCAGGGTCTGACAATGGTCAAGGGATTAGGGAATTATAGGGTGGGGGGTGGGTTTTTCCCACAGAAGCCTGGGAGGGAAAGGGTTAATCAAAGGTCAACTAGTCCAAGCCTCTCAATCCATAGAAGAGGAAATTGAGGCCCAGTGAAATTAATGAATAATAATAGCTAGCATTTACATAGCACCTACTATGGGCTAGGAGCAGAGCTAAAGGCTTTATAATTATAATCTCATTGGATCCTCAGAACAGCTAGGAAGTAGGTGATATAATTATATCCATTTTAGAGATGAGGAAACTGAGGCAGAGGTTAAATGACTTACCCAGGGTCACACAGCTAGGAAATGTCTGAGGCAGGATTTGAACTTAGATATTCCTGACTCCAGGCCCAATACCCTATCCACTGTGACAGCTGCCTCTAAGTGACTTATCCAAGGGTGCTCTGGGAGTAAAGAGTAAAGTTAGGATTCAAATGCAGGTCTTCTGACTCCAAACCCAAGGCTCTTTCCCATTCTCTCATGATATTTCTTCCAGGGGCCTGGTGTCTTCCATTCATCTTTTCAGAGAGCATCTGGAGGGGAGATTGGAGGTGGGGTGGGGCAGAAAAGGAAGGAGGAACATTTGGCACAACCCAGGCTTTGTCCCTTCTGGAGACCCTGACTGTGGAGGTATCTAGAAGTAGGAGTCCTTCACCCCTGGACAAATGTCCCCCAATCAGGAGGCCTGCTTGGTCCTGCCAAACAATCCTTGTGTCCTATTCACTCAGACTGGGATTCACAGTGGGGTCCAGAAGTAGGAGGCTGGGAGTCAGGATGCCTGGCTCCATCACTGAGCCACTCCCCAGCTGTGAGACAGGGCCCTCTCCCCTCTCCTACAAGTTTGGGTTCTCCCTATACCCTAATCCCTCCCTCCCTTGCCCTCTCCCTCACCCTGCCTCACTTAGAAAAGCATTCTGTAGTCTGCCTATCTGAGATAAAATCTCCCTAACCTCAAAGAAAGAATCCATAGCTTGGGGACATATGCTCAAACGACTGGAAAAAGGCTAGTGAGTATAAAAGTACAAGAAAGGCTGGAGGAAGTCAAATCTCAGAGCTCCTGAAGGTCAGTTTCCCCTCTTCACACACCCAGACCTGGGGAGAGTCCTCCGGTTTCTCAGCTTTGCACCTAGACTCATCTCTTAATCTTTACAATAATCCTTGTGATAGAGGTGCAATTATTATTTCTGTTTTATAGATAAGGAAACAGAGGCACAAAGAGGTTAAGAAATTTACAGTCACCTATCTAGTAAGGGGACCCATCAGGATTTAAACCCAGCGGTTTTTGATTTCAAGCCCAACCCTCTCTCCATAGCAACAGAGGAGACAAAGATTTTCAAGTGCTTTCATATGCATTATCTTCCCTGGAATATCACCTCCACTGGGTAGAGGAAGAGAGGGAGCCAGGGACTTCAGTCTGTGACTAGCCAATAAAACTGCTGAGGACTGGGGAGCCTGCTGGCTTCCCATACATGCACTGTGGGAAGAGGTCACACAAACATAAAAAGTGACACGTGGGAAGAAGATACTGTGGAGGAATCTGGATGCCCAAGTAATTAGAGTTGACCTTTTGTAATGATAAGTGCCCTAAAGTGAACTAGGCTGCCCCAGGTAGGAGGTTTCCCCCTCGCTGAAGGTTTCTAAGTGGAAGATGACTTTCCCTGGGGATAGGGCAGAGGCAGGTTCCTCTGACCTCTCATCCAGTATTCTTTCCCCTCTTCAATTGTACATTTTCCCTTTTTGCAGATAGCTGGTGGGGGCAAGTGTGTCTCAAAATGTGTATTTCCGTGTATGAAGCAGTATTCCAGGTTGGCAAAAGGCAACCTGTGTGTATAAAAAATACATACACATATATTATATGTATGTAATTATATATACATACACATATATGCATACCTTTGTGTGCATGTGATAGTTGTATATTCCCAGGTCAATCCACACAAGCCTATTCAAACCATAATAATGTAGTTAAAATAATCCTATTAAATCATTGAAATCATACAATGTCCTATTAGAAGAAAATCTTATCTTTAAGACTTCATCAAGTAATCCAGTAGACCTCTTTTTGGGAAGGAGGAAACTGAATCCCAGAGGGAGGAAGTAACTTGCCCAGTATTACACATTAATGGCAGAGCCAGGGCAACCTCCCCTCCCTACTCCCCCAATCTCAGCTCCATTCTTTTATCCAGACCTTTGGTCCTCTACTGAAACTTACAGAGGTTAAATGATTCACCCAAGGTCTCACAGTCAGTGTATGTTAGAGGCAGAATTAAAACCTAAGTCCTCCTAGCTCCAAGGCCAGCTCCCTGTCCGAATCACCAGGCTGCCTCTCTGTTGGCATGGCTCTATTAATGTCCACTTCTAGAGTACCAATTACTGTTATTGTTATAATTATTACTATTAGTTCTAATACTAGCATCTTGTATATAACATGGCATTTAACAAATTAAACTAAAGGGACATTGCTTGGGGTAAGGAGTATTACTGTCACCACTCTTACTATTAAATGCTTCAAGGATCCTTGAGTTCCAACACAACTGTTCTCTCAACCCCCCTGCTTCTCCTCCTCCCACAAATCCTTAAAAGAGATCCACCTAACACGTGGGATCAAGGAACTTTTAATGGCCAGCCCAACAGATCAAATGAGATCATATTTGTAAAGTGCTTAGCACTGGGCCTGGCACATAACAGGCATTTAATAAATGCTCATTCCCTTCTCTTCATCAGGTGGAGTGCATCTGATTTGATAGACAAACAAACATCTTGGGAGGTGAAGTGACTTTGTCCACTGTCACTTTGCCGGGCAGGCAGCAAGTAAGGTCAACATTTAAATGCAAGTCCCCAGAATCTATAAATCTGTTCAGCCTACCTCCCCAGCTGTCATTCCTGTCTCTAAGATTGAGCTAGGTGACCTTGGGAAAATCTCAAATTATCTGTACCTCTTTTTGGGAGGATTGGACCAGACAACTCTAAGGTTCCTTCAGGTTCCGAATCTATGATTTTCTGGTCTTTATTCAGTGGATAGAGTCCTTCCCTACATCAATCAATAAACATTTATTAAGCGCCTACTATGTGTCAGGCACTGTACTAAGCGCTAGGGATACAAAAAGAGCACTGGCTAGTCCCTGCCTTCGACAAGCTCACAATCTAATGCGATACATTATATAATATAATACATTATGGGTTATGTAGGCGCTTCTGAGTTGGCATAGCAACCTGACAACCATTTGGAACTGTTTCCAGAGGAAAAAGGCTTTGCTCCTCTACCGGATCACTTTCCTTGCAAACAAACTTTTGTAAATTTTGTGTATCAGTTTCTGGAGTCCAAGAGGAGGGACACCGTGGACTAGGCAGGGAGAGGATGAGGTCTGTTTAACCCCTTCGTCTTCCAGCCGAATTCCCACGTCCTCAGCCTCTGTAGCCCCCAACCTCCAGTTCATTTCACAGCCTTATACTTTTCCGATGGCTCCCCTGGTAGGGAGAAGAGCATCGGACTTTTCGTTCCGTCCTAGGACTGCCTGGACAGGGAGTCCCCAGCGGAGTGGCGCGGACACCAGCCTATGCTCACACTCTAGACCCGACGGCGCAGCCCAGACCTCTTCCCCCTTTTACAGGACGCCCCGTCTTCGCCCCACCAAATCAACCCAGGCCGGGTTCCCCAGCCTCCTGGCCCAGACCCGACGTCTGTCACTAACCCATCTTCTTCAGCGCTCGCAGCGCGGCCCTTTCCTGGCTCCCGCCGTCCGATACCAGGATCCGGAACGAGGACTCCAGCTCCCCGCCGCTCCGTCTCTTCCATCGGGGGCACGGCATAGTCCGAGGCAGAGTCTGGTCTGGGGACACAGTGGCGGGGCCCAGGGACGGAGAGACGTCCGGGGCCCGGCCAGGGTTCTGGCTCCCAGGTTCCAAAGTGAGAAACTAGGAGCCAGACAAGGAGGCGGAGTGAGCTAGAGAAGAGGGTGGGAAGAGAAGGAAAGGGGAGGGAGGGAGAGAGGGAGGCCAGGACCACGGGGGCGGGATCTCCTGCTTTCCCAGGTCTTAGGAATTGAGGCCGAGCTGTGTGACCCCCACCCTACTGTGACTGTGCCGTGCTTCACCTTATCCAAACTCTCCCCTCAGCTTGTCACGTGTTCCTCATGCTCACCCAGTGCGCCCCCTTCCCCATCCCCGTGGACCCTGAACTTGACTGACTGAAGCACCCAGAGGTTGCTCCAGATTTAGCGTGGGGGGAGGGGCGGAGGCGATGGGGAGCAGTGAGGAGGGCAGCCGCGGCTTCTCCTCGAGGCTCCCGGGCCCCCTGAAGACTCTGGATTCCGGCCTACTCTCCTCCCTTCTGCACTAAGCTCCTCCTCTCTCAAACTCGGTAGTCGGGTGTGGGGTCAGAGAAATAAAGATGGGCAAAAGCCACCTGGGCAAAGGTATGGAACTCCTCCAGCTGGGAGACTGGATTAGACCTGCGATGACCGAGCTGGGAGCTCGGGGTGTCAGAGAACTGGAGAAGGGGGGAAGGAGGGGAAAGAAGGATGCAGAAAGGAGGGAGCAGAGAGGAATCTCCCCCTCCACTGCTTCAGCTTCGTGACGTCATTGGATTAACCCTCATGACGCCAGAGGATGCTTCCTCTATTATCAGATAAATACCCGTACACCTTGAGGAAGGAGGAAGGAACTCATACACGGGAGTTGAGGTGGAAGGGACTTTGTCAGTCAATCAGTAAACATTCATTTAGCGCCTACTATGTGTCAGGCACAATGCTAAGTACTGGAGATAAAAAGAAAAGCAAAAGACAATTCCTGCTCAGAGTCCAATGGGGAGACAAGCATGCACACAACTATGTACAAACAAGTCAGATGCAGGATAAATTGGAAATAATCAACAGAGAGAAAACGCTAGAATTAGGGGGGGTTGGGGAAAGTTTCCTGTAGAAGGTAGGATTTTGGCTAGGACTTTAAGGAAGTCAAGGAAACCAGGAGGTGAAGATGAGTCCGGAGAGCATTCCAGGCATGGGGGACAGCCAATGAAAACACCCCATGCAGCTAGGTGGTACAGCGGATAGAGCACTGGCTCTGGAGTCAGGAAGATCTGAGTTCAAATCCGGCTTCAAACACTTGATCACTTGATACTTACTAGCTGTGTGACTCTGGGCAAGTCACTTAACCCCAACTGCCTCGAAAAAAAAAAAGGAAAAGAAAATACCCCATTCGGGAGATGCAGTATTGTTCGAGAAAGAACACGGAGGTCAGTGTCACTGGATCGTTGTGAGGGGAAAGGGGGAGGACAAAGAGGGGTACAAGGTATAAGACTGGGAAGGTGAGAGAGTGGGCTGGTTATGAAGGGTTTTCAATGCTAAGCAGATTTTATATTTGATCTTGAAGGTGTGATAGAGAGCCACTGGAGTTTGTTAATTAGGGAAGTGACATGGTCAGACCTGCACTTTAGAAAGACCACTATGACAGCTGAGTGGAGGATGGCCCAAAGTGAGGAGAGGCTTAGGGCAGGGAGACCAACCAGCAGGTGATTGCATGAGGAGATAAAGGCCTGCACCAAGATAGTGGCAGTGTCAGAGGAGAGAAGGGAGTGGATACAAGGAGATGTTACTAAGGTAAAATCAGCAGGCCTTGGCAACCTTAGCATGACTGAATGAATGAATGAATTTTTAAAAGGAATTTATTAAGCACTTACTGTATGCAAGGAGCTGAGAATACAAATACAAAAAAGTGAAAACAGTCCCTGCTCAGATTCCAATTTCCAGCTTTGTTGATGGGAGCCCTGGATTGCGGTTCATGCTCCCAGAACGTCTGCCAAGCTTCCCTATGGCCCAGGTTCTCACCTCCCTCTTCCTCGAGGTGTCCCTGTGGGAGTTTGTGCATGTGATATTCAGGGACGAATGACAGATGCAGTGATGAGCTGGGGTGAGTGTATGCGTGGCTGCTTTATGCGTCACTGGTGCACACAGCATCTAAGTCCTTCCCAAGAGAGTGCAGGTGTAGATGTGCACGGGGACCGGGACGGTCCGTTTGGGTGTCTCTGGCCGTGTGCCCCGGGGGTCAGGGTCAGAAATCTGTGGGCACAGCGCCACCTACTGCTAGTTTGGGGCATGCAACGCACTCCCTGACAGTCCGCAATTACCCTACCCCTGACGTATACCCAAAAAGCAACATTCTCCCTTTTGTTATCCCTCCTACTCTCCTCCAACTTCCGCCACTGCCTCGCATGTGTGATGTCTCCTCGAGTCTCTCTTCTTCAATGTCCCTCGGAAATCCAACTCAAGTCAACCAGAGAACCCAGCTTTTGATTGACTAACGCCCATCAAGTTGACACGTCGATTCCCCGGCCCAGGTGGCTGTGGTCCCCTTCTCCCGAGAGGATGCACAGGTTTCGCGTCAGGCGCCTCTCTGTTCCACCAGGGGGCGCTGACCGCCTTCCTCAGTCCTAGTGGAGGGGCGGTGGAGAGAGCTGTAATGCTACCGCCAGATTGGGAATCAGCAGCACGGTGATTTGCATAAAGTTGAAAGACCCACGCCTAGTGGACGAAAAGCGGAAGACAAGAGTGAAACGAACTTGCTTATTGGCTGAGTGTTCTGTCCGTTCTTCCTTACACCCTGAACCTCTCCAACTGTGCGGGGAGGTCAGTCGGAAACCTCGGGCACTAGGGAGAGGGGCTACCCCCCCGTCCTCGTCCGGGCCCGGCGAGCCGAGGAGGGGCAGCTGGGGTGAGTGCCAGGCGGCGCTGGGACCCCCCGCATGGGGGGACTCTAGGGTGGAGGGTTGAATGCTGGAGGGCTGCGTCCCTGGGAGTTGTGCGCGGTGGTTAGGGACCCATCTGGCGAAGGGGAGCTTAACAGCCAACGGCACATCTGGAGAGGGGGGAGAGACTGGGGGCACAAGCCATCCTTTCTGCTCACCTGTTTCTTCGGGGTTCCGGACTAGCTCCAAACCGATCCCGGGACCCACCCGCCCTGGGGAGAACCCGTCCAACTTTGGGAAAGACTCGAGTCTCCGCTCTGGACTCTCAGTGAATCCCTGTAAAGTAAGACCTCAGTTTTCTCATCGGAAAGGTGGGGCTATGGAGTGTGGAAGGCTAGAGTTGGGGAAAAGTGGCCCCGGTGCTTCTGTCACCATCTAAGCACTCACACAAGTTTGTTATTATATAGGAAGTCTTCCAGAGACGGCGATCCTCACCTCCATTCACCCAAGCTCCTCTACATTTCCAGTGGCTACAATTAGCTCAGGATGGGGACAGAAAGGCAGTGTTCAGAGCCAGACTGCCAGAAGCAATTCTACGCTGCAGTTACTGTCATCCAGAGTTTACCCAAGAATGGTGAGGCCAGTGACAGTCTCCCCACCCCCCCACCCCCCTTGCCCTCTACCACCTGTGTTTCCAACCCTGGCTGATTCCAAGCTGCAGTTTGGACGTCCCCCCTTTCCCCCAGTCATTTCCTGGAGTCCTCAGAAGTTTCCAGGGACATAGAGGAGAAGTGTCTGGCCCCTGACACCTTGACTTACCTGATATTTCACTAGGTAAGGCTCCTCCCACCCCAGCACTCAGCCTTGGCCCTCTCCTCATTCCAGGAAGCATCTTCTTAGGTAGTATTAGCAGAGCTCTGTTTCTCTGAACATTCCGAAGTTCTCCTAGCCTCTTCCCCCTGAAGCTTCCCCCTGATGATTCTTGGCTTTCTTATCTCTCACCACCCCAACCGCTCAGGTTCTTATCGCCCATCCTATGAGGAGATGTTGCGTTTCTACAGCTACTACAAGCAGGCTACCCAGGGACCCTGTCATATGCCCAGGCCTGGCTTCTGGGACCCTATTGGACGCTATAAATGGTAAAGCACCCTCCTCCCCCTGCCCCAGCTCCATGGTACTGTCCTCTTGGAGCAGTGTCCCTTCATGGAGGCCCCTTTGGTGACCAGAACTCTGCCCTCCAGGGATGCCTGGCACAGTCTGGGCAGGATGAGCCAGGAGGAGGCAATGGCGGCTTATATAGCAGAGATGAAGGTGGTGGCCCAGAAGGTAAAGTCTTCCTTGTGATTCCTCCCAAGTCTAGAGCCATTTCTCCCTGTGATAACTGGTGACTGTCATTTGGACTCTGGTGCTTGCCCGCAGTGACCCTTATCTTCCCTCCTATTGACCAATGCTGTTTCCACTCCAGTTCTCTCATAGTGAACCAAGCTAGCGGGCCAGCCTCTGCCTCCCTTGACTCCTTCCAGTGGTTCTCAAGCCAGGGCTGAACCCACAGTGGACACAGTTGGGTGGTGACAGGGCTGGCAACATTTACTGTTGGGTTACCCGCCATCTTTTTTCCTCTTTCCATAAGGTGATAGACACGGTTCCCTTGGGAGAGGTGGACGATGGCATGTTTGACTACTTTGTGCCCTTGTACGAGATGATCCCTGACATGCCTCAGCCTCCAGAGACCTTCTTGAAGAAACTCACAGGTCAGACTCCCCCCCAAAAGGGCCAGCACTGGGTGGAGAAGAGTCAGAGTCAAGCCAAGGTTCTGAACTGCTCAGCTCATCATGGGGCTGAGAGAAGGGGTTTACCCAGCCATGGAAGGAGGAATTGTGGGATCCCTAGAGGGTTATTGGAAATCATCTTGTCAATACCCCTATTTCTACAGAATAGGAAACCATGGCCCAATGAGGTGAGGTAACTCACTCAGGATCACATAGATTAGAAATAGAAAAGTGGATTTGAACTCAGGTTCTCCGACTTCAAAACCAGTGGTCTTTCCAATTCCACATGAAAGGAAACCCTAAAATCAGTGCCATGGGTGTTTATGAGGGTGGGGGTGGGGGGTGACATGGGGATTGGTGCAGTTTTTACTGCTGTTGTTCCTTGCCTGTAAACAAGTAGATATGTTTGTATTTGGGGGTGGGGAGAAGGAGAATCTGGGGGGCTGACTTGGGTGGAATGTGTCGATCTGTTCCACCTCCTTCCCCTTGCAGCTCGGAAGAAGAAGATGAGAACTGTCTTTGAGCCCCTACCACCTCCTGAGGAGCCAGCCCCCCAGACTTCAGGTCAGTATTGACCTAGATTTGATTTAATTCAACAACATTGAGTACTCTGTGCCAAGAACTGAGGATACAAGAGAGGAAAATGAAATAATCCTGGCCTTCAGGAAATTACAGTCTACCAGAGAGAAAAAACAACCACATACACACATTGAAATAGAAAATCATTTTAAGGAGACACTGTCAACTGGGGGAGTCAGGACAGGCCACTTGTATGTGGTGAGACTCAATCTAAGCCTTTAAAGGAGCTGGGGGAGGGGGGAGAGGAGGGCCCAAGAGATAGGACCAAGAAGGAGAACATTCCAAGCATGTAGTATAGCCTGTGCTTACCATGCAATGTCATGAAGGTGGGAAATGGAAATTATATATATATGTGAATGTGTATATATGTGTAAATATATGTGTGTGTGTGTGTGTTCGTTCCCCCCCCCCCCCCACCCAGAGCAACAAGCAAGTGAGTTACGTTACAATGTAGAATAGGTGGGAGCCCAGACCCTGTTCCCCATGTTGGGTTCTTAACCTTTTTTTGTGTTATGGACCCCTCTGGCAGTCTGGTGAAACCTTTGGACCCCTTCTCAGAAGATTGGTTTTTTAAATGCATAAAACAAAATACATAGGATTGTGAAGGAAACCAATTATATTGGAATATAGTTACCAACTTTTTTTTTTTAAAGTTCATAGAATTGAGGTTAAGAAATGGACTGGGCAGGAGGAGTCAGCTGGGGCAGATAATAAAATGGTGAAGGGCCCCCCCTCTCCCTGACCTCCCCACCCCTACAAAGAAGTGGTAGAAGGAGAAGATAAAACCTGAGAGTGGATATGCTCATATTCCATGCCCCGTGGAATCTCTGGGTTCTAGAGCACTGAGCTTAGAAAGGAGGATGTATCAGCCAGAGGTCAAGGAATAGGATGGCTCTGAGGTTCTTATTCCCAAGGCCTTGTTAACTTGACCTGTGTCCTTGATTCCTTCCTCCCTTCATTCCTTCCTTTATTCCTCTCTCTTGTTCTTTTCTTTTACTCTCTCTCTTTCTCTTTCTCCCTTCCCCCCTTCCCCCAACCCTAGGGAGTCAGCCCTAGAGGGCTAGCTGCTATATCTGCCCAGGCCTTGGGAAGCCAGAGCCCTGTCTCTTCCCTCATCCCCTTTCCTTTTCCTCCTCTCACAGCACAGCTACCCAGGGTGCCCAGTGTTCATGGGAGAGCCTCCATGGACCTGGATTCTGAGGTTTTCTGTGATTCCTTGGAACAGCTAGAACCTGAGCAGGTGAGATGTTTCCTCTGCCCCTGCCACCCCATTCTCAAGGCTACTCCTCCCTTGCCTCTCCCACCCAACCCTTCAAGACCCAGGGGATCAGGCTTGGGGGAGAATCAGGAAGGTGATAGAGTCTGAGTTCCTCCTCCCCTGGGATTTCTCCCTCCAGGATGAGTGGTTACAGGAAGAGCTGAAGGAGGCGCTTGAAGGAGAGACTGATATCAGCAGTGACCACTTGCTTCCAAGAGAGAGAGGTGACTCCCACCCTGCCCTGCCCTCCCCCCACCTTTCTTTCCTCTGGGATCTTCTTTTTCTCCTCCGTCCCTAGCACCTGCCCTCACCTCTGGTCCTTCCATCCCCACCCTCCCCCTTGGGACACTGCTGGGATGAAAGTCCAGGGTTGGTATTAATATAGAGAGGGGCAGGGGAGGGCACTGGGAAGTTCAGCCTTCTGCCCAGGGCTGCCACACAGGCAGATGCCCTTGGCTCTCAGAACCCCAAGCTACTGGGGAAAGGGGTAGGAGGTAGGGCTGGGCAAAGTCCCTGCCCCTCCCTCCTCTGCCTGTGCCCCCTCTAGGGACAGCAGTGAAGGAGGCAGAGCCACCCCCTCCCTTCAGGACTTCTTAGCTCTCTGTTCCAGTCTCATCTCCCCTACTGCACCGGCTGGTTCTAGTTGTCTTCAACTTTCTGGGCTTGAGTCTTGCAAATTAAGGAGAATGGTGGGACTGGTGTGAAAATAGCTCAGGCTTCATAGACATGCTAGGAAGGCTTTGAGAAAATCCCCCCCCCTTTTTTTTTTAGGCAATTGGGGGGACTTGCCTAGGGTCACACAGCTAGTAAGTGTCAAATGTTTGGTCTGAGGCCAGATTTGAACTAAGGTCCTCCTGACTTCAGGGTCGGTGCTCTATCCACTGTGCCACCTAGCTGCCTCAGGAGAAAATCCTATAGAAATGCAAGGGACAGCTGAGTACTTAGAGGTTTTGTTTACCCCTGTCCTTCACCTACCCTACCAGGCATCTGAACCTCGGCTGGCCCGGGGGATGCCACAGGATGAGGACAGCCCCTCTTTTTATCTTTTTTGTGCAGAGATGGTAGGAAGGGCTCCCCCAGGTCCCCAGGAGTTTGAGGCCTGGCTGGCCAGTACAGTTCGAGCCCTGCAGGAGAGCATGCAGGATGTCCAGGGGAGGTTGAGGCATCTGGAGAACCTGCCCCGCCCTGCACAGGTGAGTCCCCTCCCTGCAACAGCCATCAACCAGAAGGAAGAAACGGGCCAGGGAGAGACTGGGATTTGAGCCAGATCTGCCCCTTTCCCTCAGCTTACCCACCTGTGTTCCTCTGTTATCCTTCCTACCCTTAGAAACCAAGAAACCTTTTTCCATGGATAATAATAATAGTGGTAGTGGTAGTAGCAATCCCATTGGAAACCAAGAAACCT